AGGCAAGAAAGAAAGAGAGCAGGCGCCTATCCCTGCCTGCTCCAGTGAGATACGTCCAAAGTTAAACAGTCAAAACTGGTATCTCCTTACTTTCTTTCGTACCTCACGAAAATGCAAATTGCTTTATTTACGAAGCGGATTTACATGGAGTCCCGTCATTATCGGCGCGAATACATGCCTTTTTAAATTTATCTAAATGAACTACTTTTGTTTTGTGCGCATACAGTTGCAGCTTCGCGTTCCTCTCTCCGATTAACTTATTAATGATGTACGGCCCTATATAGTGAGGTAGTGTTTAGTTTATTTAAAGTCTCATCTAAGTACTCATTAAATCGATGGTGCCTACGAAGAAAATCCCCTTTTTAAAACAGCAGTATTTTAGTCTTTTAATAGAAGAATTACCCCATTTTTTAGATCTAGTTATTACAAGTTTTTAGAAAAGTTTGAATTACGAATCGAATAAGTGATTTTTTTTGCCGCATTTTGAAAAAAAGAGAATTTCTTTGCTACAGGAATTTGTCTGTATTTAAAAAAGAGATAGTCTTCGTAAGCACCGTCGAAATGTCTTAGCGATAGTTTTGTCCGTGAGCTCGCTAGGTATGCGCGCCTTGCGACCGAAAACTAGCTCATGCGTCGTGAAGCCGTGGCCCGAGTGCACTGATGAATTATATGAAAAGAGCGCGCACCTGATCCAAGCGTCTCAGTCGTCTTTATGCATGAATATTTTTAAATACTCAATTAACGATTGGTGACTTCGCTCGAGTGATCCTTGGGTTTGTAGTCGGTAACTAGTCGAACGAAATTGAGTTATCTTAAACGTGCGGGTAAGCGACGAAAATACCTTTCCGATAAGATTTTGGCCCTGGTCAGTGCGTATGTATTTTGGGCATTCGTATCGACAGATGAACTCATTAGCAAATGCAGTCGCCATCAATTCCGCCCTGACGTCCGGGAGAGGTATCGCTTCCGAAAATTTAGTGAGATTACACTGTATCGTCAATATGTATTTATTGTTGGAAATCGTTACTGGTAGCGGGCCGACTATGTCGATTTCAATGAGCTCGAACGCTTCGGTCGGTGTAGTCGTAATCGTAAGCGGGAGTCGAGTTTTTAGCTTTTTCGTCTGACAGATCGGGCATGATTTTACGTATTCCGTTATCTCGTTTTTCATCCCCTTCCAAAGGTATTTTTCGCGAGCGTGGTTATATGTCTTAGTTATACCTTTGTGACCGGCGGTCGCGGAGTCGTGTGGGTTAATTTAGCCGCGTCTTCAGGCCAGGTTTCGCGTAGGCGAGCGCTTATCATCTCCCATGAGCGGTTGTCAATCCCGTTGTTATTCGTCGGTATACTGATTGACCCGATTTCATAAGTTTTGTGAGCGTCCGCAAGACGGTCGAGAGCGTAAGTTACGATATCGATATCTACTGTGTCGTCGTGATTTTCCTTCACAAAAATAGAAAAGAGACTTTTGTCCACGGGTAGTCTCGATAATTAGACCGAGTTTGATGTCGTGTTCCTTTAATAAATCTACCTGCAAGTACTCCATATCAGTGAACTGATGGCAAATATCTGAGTGCGGGATGCAATCGACCGACATAAAATGCGCCCAATTATCTTTCCTTGTCAGAAGCGTATCGTTGCACTGCTGTACGGTTTTGGCAATGAGCAGTCGTGCTCTTTTCGGGTGACTACGAGTCAACGTCGCTTCGTCCTCTGCGTCTGACTCGTCGGAGGCAAAGCATAATCGCGCTCGGAGTCGCTCTCCGGGGTCGTCGGGCGTAAAATAAAGAATACTCTCCCAATCTCGTTTTCGACGTCGTCGTTGCTGTACGAGGCCGAACTGTTTACCGGATTCCGCGACAGTGCGTCGGCGTTCACGTTTTTCCTCCCGGGCTTGTGGATCATTTCGTAATTGAAGTCGTGGAGTCGCTCTCTCCATCGCGCTAAACGAGACGTAGGGCTCTTTAGATTATGCAGCGATAACAAGGGTTTATGATCGGTAACGATTTGAAATTTCCGCCCGTACATGTAAGGGCGAAATTGTTGCATTGCGTTTACGATACCGAGCAGTTCTTTTTGATCGTTGGATAATTTACTTTAGCATCGGTGAGACTTCTCGACGTGTAAGCGATCGGTAGGTCACTGCCTATCTTTCTTTGGCTTAGAATACCACCCATCGCAAAATCTGATGCATGGGTCGTGACGATAAAGGGGCGATTAAAATCTGGGTATTGCAGTAAGGGTGCCGAGCTCAATATTTGTTTTATCTCTCCGAATGCCTCCTACTGTACATTCGTCCAGTCCTAGGGGATATCCGCTTTCAACAGGCCCGTAAGGGGCTTCGCGATTTTCGCGAAATCCTTTACGAATCTGCGGTAGTAACCGGCCAGGCCCAGAATTGTTTAATGTTCTTACGGTTTTTCGGTCGCGGAAGGCTGAGTTCAAGTTCAGCCTATCCGGCTGAATCGATTATAGCGCGAATGTGGCAAAGTCCAATTTATTCGAAAATGACTAAGTGTCGTTAATGCGTCAGCGACTAAGTATCGTTAATGCGTCAGTGACTAAGTATCATTAATGCGCTAGCGACTAAGTACATTTAATGCGTCTGCGGCTAAGTTCGAATTTCGACTCTCTGCTAACAGAATAACGCCGGGATATCCTCCGTACGTTAGACTAAGTCCAAGAGTCAAAAATTGCACACAAAGCTGAGAGCGAATGTTGCTAGGCAGAGGCTGCGAAGCGTAATGCAACGCGGCTCCGGAAATTCGCTCCTTTTATGCCGGAGTCCCAGCTGAGCTGGAGGGTAGGTAAAAGAGGGAGCGGAGCCGGCAGCTGATCAGACCGTTGGCCGCTGCATTGCTCCGGAGTAGGAGGGGGGGGATTCACGTCGCAGCTGCGACTTTTGTATGCGCGACTAACTCGCTCGTTGATCTATCGACTCGCCTAAACTAAGGCAACTTGGCCAACAAGCGCTCGTCGAGAAATCCCACGATCTCTCGACATACAAGCCCATCAATAATGGCTGCGTCTATTCGCGCGACAGTTCTAGTAACTTTTCAAAATCTGTCGTACGAATAAGAAAAAAACGCCAATACTTTCAATATGATAAAACTTTGTAGATTTTATAATTTAACTTCGAAAAAGTGTTTACCAAGCAACTATAGTTTAATTATTTAAGATATTATTTGATAGATTTCCTAACCTGTCAGTGGGAACGAATGAAGGCCAGCTTGTCACTAGCGATACCCAGAGCCAACTTCAGAGTTATGTATTGATGTTTGTTGGTTAACGAAACCAGACACCCGGCGATTTTAAAATACGAGTTGTAATTTAATTATTTTCTAAAATTTAAGATTAAACGAACTTGGTACAATAAAACAAAATCCATTTAAAATTGTTGTCGGCATTTTTCGATTTCGTTGATTTTCCAACGATTGAATATGGTATTTAGCTGAGGTGAGAAGCGAAGTATTGTACATTCATAGTACTCTATCATAGATTATGAAGAAAAAACGAATACTAATTGCAAGTATGTCTTTCTATGAATTCCCTTATAATATACTTACTATTGAACATAGAAGTTCATAGGTTCGAATAGCCAAGTAACAAAATTCTAATGTTGTTCTTAATACACATTGTTTCGCAACAAAAAATTTCATTTTAAATGCCCCTTCGCTTTACACTAAATAATTTATATGGGAAATAGTTGAAATTGTATTAAAAATTTTTGAAAGATTACTTTTCTATTATATGAATTAAAACTATTATACATTATTATTGAAACATGAAATTACACAGAACAACATTGGAATTCATAAATAATATAGTTAGGTGTATGCAAAAATAGCAAACAATAAAGCTCTTTATGAGGGGGGAAAGAAACTTTACAAATGTATGGTTTTTTTCCAAACGAAAAAAAATTGAAACAAGTTTAGCTTATTACTACATAAAACTCTGTTTAGAACATAAAATATTACAGATTATTCAATATTCTTACATTTATTACAGAAAAACATTAAATGTGTATTCTCATATTTTTCTAATTCTTTATTAGTTACACCCTGGCAGGAATTATGATACCAGATAACACATTGGTTGCAAAATATTGATTTACCGTGTAATTTTAAATTGCACTACCGCACAACCAAAGAACTTGATCTTCACTTTTAGCATGATTTTCAACGCATAGACGTTTATATGCTGTACAACTAATATATCGCTCCAAAACTGACACATCTATTGCAGAATCGAAGAGCGAACACCGTAAATCGTTGAAATTAATCTCTGCTTCAGTGATTAAATCTTCACCAATTTTCGTTTCTAATAATTCTTTCAAGACTAGCATTTTTAACAAAAATAAAGCCTGAAGTTTTGGATCGAGTTCTGCATAAGGCTTGCCAACAAATTTCCTTTTAATACTTCCGATGACGGTTTTATCAGTCCCTTTTTTGCGACCCTTACATAATGTCTTTTTGAATGAAACCAATGAATTACCAGCTGCTTTTTTCTGACCTTTAACGATAGTCTTCTTCAATGATATCAAAGAACTTTTTTTCATCTTCTTTTAACTTCAACGCGCTGATACAGGACTCGAGGTTTTTGACGGTTTCAACGGCGTTTCTCGTACACCATTGTGATGGTACGTTGAATTTCGGACCGCGTGACAGAGCAACGAAACTATCAGATCAGCAGTTTCACGCCAAGAACATCGAAAAAGTGCGAAACCTCTTGAAACCGTCAAAAACCTCGAGTCCTGTATCAGCGCGTTGAAGTTAAAAGAAGATGAAAAAAATGTGGCGAACGACATACGCTGCACGGTTCTGGAAAACTTCAAGCGCACAGCTAGTAATAAGAATCATCTTAACAGATTTGACTACGAGACACACATAAAAATGCAACAAGCACGATCCTTTCTCAAAAACAACAAACATTTATTTTTTACGAAAGCCGACAAAAGCAACGCCACGGTTTGCATGCAGGTAGACGATTATATAGAAAAAATGACGACACTCTTGAACGACGATGAGACCTATGAAAAAATCGACCGCGACCCATTTGAGAGTTTACAAACGAGGACGAAATTACTCTTGAAAGAAGTCAACGAAGAGTGTGACAGAAACCTTAGTGTTTTCCAGCTATCACTAAGTGACACATCTTTAGCGAGGGCATACGGCTTACCGAAGATTCATAAGAAGGACGTGCCGCTACGTCCTATTATATCTTTGGTGGGTAGTCCAACGTATGTGCTCGCTAAGATTTTTTACGAAGAACCGTCACCTGTCGTCAAACCACCAGCTTCACACGTCGACAACAGCTTTGACTTCAAGAGTAAAATCGCCAACATCTCAATACCAACAGATTATGTGCTCGTCTCACTAGACGTCGTATCGTTATTCACGAACGTGCCACTAAACCTTGTACTTGAAAGCCTAGACAGACGCTACTCTGACCTCTCCAAGTCCCGCTTATCGTTTGACAAGATCCGTGAAGTAATGACTTTCTTATTTAACAACACCTATTTTAAATTCAATAACGTATTTTACCGACAAACTTACGGGATCCCGATGGGAAGCTGCATCTCCTCATTAGCTGTAAACTTAGTGATGGAGGATTTAGAGAAGCACTTTTTGAGCGTACTGAAACAGCACGGATGCACACCACTGTTTTACTACAGATACGTCGATGACACCATCTTATGCATCAACAAAAAGGACATCGAACTGACGGTGAACGTATTCAACTCTTACAATGAAAAATTGAAGTTTACACACGAAGTCGAACAAGATAAAAAGCTCAACTTCCTTGACATGTCCTTGATAAACGACAACGGCAGGCTGCTTTTAGATTGGTACCAAAAACCATCAAACACCACGCGACTACTCTCATACCACTCACGACACTCTACTCAACAAAAAATTAACATCATTTACAACTTAGTTGACAGAGCAACGAAACTATCAGATCAGCAGTTTCACGCCAAGAACATCGAGAAAGTGCGAAACCTCTTGAGAGACAACGATTATCCATCAGCCTTCGTCAATCGACATGTTTTCAAAAGAATGTGGACCCTCAAGCATTTCAAACCTGACTCACACACAATCGGACCCAATCCGACATGCAAGGCAATTTTAAAATTACCACACATCGACCACTTCTACGACAAATGTGCCAACATGCTTAGAAAATACAACATCAAGGTCATTCCGACTAAAAGCGAATCACTCACTTCGCTCATCACACTAGGAAAAGACAAGATCGATAAGCTCGAAAAAACAGGAGTGGTATACCATTTGAAATGCATGAATTGCGCCAAAAGCTACGTGGGCCAAACAAAAAGGAAGCTAAAAATCCCAGTTTATTGGAAAATTTAAATTTAAATTAAAAAATTTTGTTTGGATTATTTGCTAAAACTTTTTAACTTCAAGTTTAACTTCAGTTTCACATCATGCAGTTCTTATGAATCTGTTTCTTTTTTTTTTATTACTTTCAATGAATTTGCTTCATTACTTGAATTTTACTTTAATTTTTAGATTGCATTTAATTTACTTGAATTTGGTTCTAGTTTGTAAAGAAGTTTCACATCTCGCAGCTGTTCTTATACAGCTGATTCTTTTTTTTTTTTTTACTACTGCGGAAGGTACGGATAAAATTTTGCTTAGCATTCACTTGACGTATAAGTTTGAAAGATTTAATCATAAAAATCTGATTTTGAATCATAAAAATTAATTTATGCGAATAAATAAACTCGGCTCTTTGAAACAAAAGTTAAAATGGTCTGTCTGCAGGTGCCGAAAGTATCTCGTTTCATAAAAATTAGTCGATATATTTTTTTTAATTCGGGAGAAAAGGTTGAAAAGAAAAATTATAATATCCTAAATATAATTCTATTGATTTTTTATTGAAAAAGTGTTAGAAAAACATGGTCATACATGACATATTTTATTTTTTATTGAAAAATTGTTGGAAAAACATGGTCATACATGACATTAATTATAATAATAATAATTACGGCCGCGATAACCACTGCCTCTGTAGCCTCTTGATTCGCGGTATGAGCCGCGAAAACCACGGTGAAATGCTCCGCGGTATGTTCCGCGGTAGTTGCCATGTTGATATGGCTCATACCAGACCCCGGGTTCAATCCATTCAACGTGCGCTGCAGCCGATGTCGTGACCGGCCAAACCACAGAATCCCATGCAGAAGGAACTGCGGGTGCATGAGTTCCTGATGCGGTTGCGGCCCAAGGCGCAGGGACTGGAGGAGCTGGAGCCGACAAAGCAGAATGGGCAAAGGCAGCCGGTGTAGACCAAGTCACCGGTGCAGCTGGTGCAGGCCATGCGGCAGGGACCGGGGCGGCCAAAGGCATGGGGGTGATGGCTGGCGGTGCAGCTTGTTGCAAAGGCTGGTCCATCTTTAGTAAAACCATTCGCAACAATTCTGCAACGGACTTGTCCTCATTTGGTTCCGCAGCCTGTTCTCGTTGACGAGCAGTTAGTGCAGCCTCTACCTGTCGTCGGTCAGCTTCTGCTGCAGCCTCATCTCTTTGGCGAGTAGCTAGTGCAGCCGCCTCTTCTTGTCGTCGGTCAGCTTCCACTGTAGCTTCTTCTCGTTGACGAGCAGCTAGTGCAGTCGCCTCTCCTTGTCGTCGAGCAGCTGCTGCTGCAGCTTCTTCTCGTCGACGAGCTGCTTCAGCTGCTGCTGTAACTCGGGCCTGTTGTAGTTGCACGGCGGAAGCGGCGGCTTCGTGACGAGCATCCATGCTTTTACGTGGTGCCATTTTTCTGTAAAAGTTAAAAAACGTTTGTTCTTTTAATTAATATTTCAATTAATATTTCCAACTGTTAATTTTGATTCTTTGTATAATTGATATTCTCGAGAGTTAACTTTGAATTCACGTTCTCATTAAATAAAAAGAACTTACTTAATTTTAATATCTGATATTAAATAAAATCATAACAATTTTATAGCACAAATATATCCTAAAAACCCGAACTTATTTCTGCACGCACCTATCAATTCTTATACTCATTTCAGGCGCGTCAGAGGTCGAATCATAGACCTATCGTGGCTCGAATTCTAGCAACGGCGATAAGTCTATTAAATCAATTCAAGTCTATGCAGTAGCATCTTGCGTTAATATTATATTATTATTCTTGCTCATGGAAGATTGCACGTGAAACTTGCCCGCGAAGCATTTAAAGCCGTGTCTCTCATCTACGCACGCGCGTCGTGTGAGTTTAACCCTCTCACTCGCTCGTTGAGTACTCGTATCGTGATCATTCACTCACCCACACGCGCTAGAGAGCCAAGCAAACGTTGCAATACTGCGAGGCAGTTGGCGCGTTTAGCGACGATCCGTATGGCAGAGTGCTGGCGGACGCGAGCGAGGGGCAAGCCCTCGCGTCGGTGCCATGTGCCCCTCCGACCGCGGCAACGTACGCAAATAGGCTTCGCGTGGGGGCATCACCCGTCTCCCTCGCAAGCACGTGCGTCGTGCGCCCGTGTGCTGAGAGGACCCACCACAACGCTGAGGCACCGAGAGAGGGGAGATCGCGCGCGCGTATAAATACGGGCTGCGCAGAAGCCGAGGATTCATTATTATTCAGTCCAAGCCTCTGAGCAGTAACCTGATACGAGGACTCTACCTGAGACACTGGAGGTAAATTTTAACCTTTTTTTCATGGGATTATAACCCGCAACAGTTTGCCACACGCAGCCACTACAGAGCCTTGACTCGTACCGGACGGTAAGAGCAGACCAGTAGCTGAGCTCAGTGAATGATTTCATTGACTCATTGGCAGCGGTGACCAAACTGGTCATAGATCGGGCAAGTCCCAACGCTCGTACAGCACGTTGGGTACGCATATCGGTCTTCCGAGACCCCGTGCAAGGCCGAACGATCAAATTGACCGGGAATTACCAAGTCCGCGTGTGCCGATCGTAACCACGACCGGCCGCGGTAATCCACGCGCGCCGATCGTGATCCCGATCGACCGTGGGAGTGTGGTGCTAGCGCGAGCCGACGAGTCTCATACGCAACCTAATCTCGCCCTAATCGCCAGCCCTTACAGCACCAGATACGGGAACCAGTGGCAAATCTTCGAGAGCGGGCGTGCGTCACCAAGAGGGACATCTGGAGAACGGAGAGGAACACCACGGAGCGACACTCACATAAATGCCAGTGTACCCTTTAATGTTATACTCCGTCCGTTTTTCTCGCGGCTTGTGAAAAGTGCCGCCTTACGAACGATTCAAAGAGCCCCGTGTGTGGGACATAGTATAAACGCGAGATTAACCTCCCCTCTGCCAACCCGTTGCAACATCATAAACGCGCCCACAGCCGCGTTCTTTCATTTATCTAGGGGCCCAGCAGCGCGGATATCTGCGTAAACATCGTGAAGTGTACTACGCACCGACGATAGTGCGTAGGTAGCCGCAGGATACTCGAGCCATTTCAAGGGTGCGCGACTCCGGGTCGCGACGGACAGCAAAATAGTTTATTTTCATTTAACAAATCAAAATAATTAATAAATTATAGTAAAATTTAAATCAAAATCAGTGCATCAATGTACACGTACCCATCCCCCAATTCACATAACATACCTCGCCGCGGTACGTGCAGAAACAATTTCATAAAATAAATACAATAGTAGGTAAAACCTACTTCGCGACTCACTGCGAGGTCAAGCAAAAAAGAGAGTAAACTTGCAATACATATATTTACAATTGTTTACAGCTATACAATAAAAAAAGAACATTATCAATAGAAAAACAAATTTAGACCAAATTTAGATTATTGGAGAAAACTTGTGCATTAAGTGCAAAAAGACTGAACAAGCTCAGGCTCTCTCTGTTGTAAGAATCAGTTTTCCTTCCAAGGCAGGAGGGATCGGAGTAAGGTTTTCTGCCTGACAGCGATCCGACCAGTCCGCTTTGTCCAGTGTCAGAAAATGGTTGAAAAGCGAGGCGCTATGGTCAACGGTGACGTTTACAAAGTCGATACCAAAAGGCAGTGAATTCAGTATCCTGGACGCAGTGATAAAGAACGAGTTGTTCAGCGAGGTTGTCCTAGGTGCTGAGTAGCACAAAGGCGGCGTCAGACGTTGAGCAGAACGACGAAGGTTTGGCCGAGAGGATGCCCGCACAAAACGATCTGCAAGACTGGCAGGTGAACGATTTCAGATTATATTTATCGCAAGTATTGCGATGAGATACTCCCTACGACGCCTCACAGATAGCCAACCAAGCGCAAGTCGATATGACGTTACATGCTCTCGCCATTCGATAAAGCCAAATACAAAACGAACACATGCATTCTGCAGACGTTGAAGTTTCAGGTTCTGAGAGACAGTCAGTGCGTTGTAGACGGCAGCAGCATAATCAAGCTGAGGCAGTACAAAAGAGACACAAAGTCGGACTCTTGCTGCAAATGACAAAGAACGACGGTGAAAACGCAGAGATCGCAGAGCAAAGTGAAATCTTGAGACAATTGAGTTAACCTGAGCATCCCAACGCAAGCAGGGGTGTATTGCAACGCCGAGACTCTTTATAGAAGTCGAGTATTCAACGGGAAAACCATTAACAGAGACTCTCCGAATCGTCTCAAAAGCTATTCGTGACGTGTACGACAGACTACCAAGAAAAATTGCAGTCGTTTTGGTTGGATTTAGCCTCAAATTGTTACGTGCCGCCCAGTCTGCCACTGCATTTGCATCCGCATTGACGGCATCAATGAGGTGATTTATACTCTTAGGCCTAGCGTGTGCATAGATTTGTGTATCGTCAGCGAGACCTTTTCAGTACCTGGGGCAGATCATTTATAAAAAGAGTAAAGAGTAGGGACCAAGAACGCTGCCTTGAGGTACTGTAACGGTGCAGGTTACAGGGGAAAAGGGTAAATAATAATTGCGTTGGTCGCGCTAGCGTGTAGCAGTACATCTAATGTACTGGCTACAAGTGGCGACTTACGAGGCCCGTGAGCCGACATTCGGGCGTATACAATAGATTATAGAATGGACACGCACATACGCAGCAGAGACAAGACGACAACGAGGCGAAGCGACGCACACACACACATGCGTCGAGCACACGCAGGATACACGCACACTCACACGCGCGTACACACACGACGTGACGAGCAGGCAACGACACGTGCCTCCGAATCACGATACGCAGCGCCAAGAGAGGCGCGCGCGACGCTGCGATCTATCGAGCAGCGAAAAAGATCGCAGAATCTCTCGTGCCACGAGAAGCGAGACGAAGGACTCGAAATTCATCCTCGAAAGAAAAAGGCAACGTTTTGTAAATATATTGTGTGTGTGTGTGTGCTCGACGAGTTACAAACCATCCACTTGGACTGACGAGTCCAAG